GCAGAGGGCACTGAGTCTTCACCATTAGGCAGGCAGAGCAGGAATAACGGATTGCAAAGTGATTAGAAAAAGCTCCAAAGTGGAGACACATTTGAAAAAAAAAATTGCAAACTGAGGCCTTTGCTTCTCTGGTTTTGGTTTTTGCTGCAGCGAAACAGGGCCAGCTGCCAGAGCCTCGTGCTTCTACCGAGGGCAGTGGGGTGGGGGGAGCCTGGAGCCCCGCTTTCTCCGAGGGGCTCGGCCCTGCACCCGGCCAGCTGTGCCCACCACCCAAGTGGCAAAGTTTCCATGGCCCAGACTGCGGCTTCAGGACCCCTGGGGGCAGGGGATGGTGGTGAGAAAGATGCAGATTCCCAGGCGCACCTCCATACACATCCTCTGGAGGCAGGGCTAACCAGTCCTTCAGGCAGTCCCTGGAAAACTGCATGAATTTGGGCCTTCATTTGACAGGGGGAAGAAAGTGTGGAAAGAGAGTAATTAGCTTTTACAATTGGCATTCCCCCCCAAACTGAGTCTGTGCTTAAAACTGAGACTGTACAGACATTATGAATATGTGACTCAGTCGGACTCCTCTCAATTTTCAAATACAGCATGCAATTCACTGGAAAATCGACAGCTCTTCCAGAAGGTGGCACAGCTTAGTGGGACAGAACAAGGGCAAGCAGGCTCAAATCAACTTGAGAATGTTCCTTACCCTTCCTCAGCCTCAACTCTCATGTCTAGAAAAGGCTACACTAAGAGAATTTCCCCCGTAGCTTGTTGGGAGGACCAAATTAAATGGAGTCAGATGTGTGAAGCAGTCAGCACAGGGCTTGCTTGGCCCGTGACATGTGCTGAACCAATTTAAGACACGCCTATTACTGTCGTTAAAGGTAACTAACAATAAGTTTAAACTCTGAAATAAAAACAAAAAACTGAGATGCTATGATAAATGTCTGTGCCCCTTTAACCACGGCGACAGAGCTATTTAAATCAGGGCATTCTTTTTAGGAAGAATTAAATGATTATTCAGCATAGTATGGACGATACAAAAAAATTCAGAAATAACCAAGCAAGGAGAAGTTGGCAAATCATCAGTCTTGACCTGCTGACGGTCATGGCTTCGGGAAGAAGCAAGGCATGCTGCTTTCCACCAGAATTCTGAGTAAGCAGCACATCTCATGTGACCACTGCCACTCTCATGCAAGCTTAGGAAAAGGGACTTGTTCTCCTGTCGCCAGCTTTCTGAGCTCCCTGTGGTCTGCAGCATTTTCCGTGGCCAGGCTCTGCGGTGCATGGGAGCTCTGTATGCTTGCACTTGGGAGGGTGAGGACCAGCAGGGGGGCCGCGCGGGGAGCTAAGGGGTCCAGGAATCCTGAGAATGGCTTCCTTCCAGCCCCCAACACCCTGGTGGGCCGCCGCCGATGCTCCCGCTCCACCCTCACCCCGCCACCCCCAACCAAGCCATAGTTTCCAAATCACTGGTGTCTACAAGAACTGATTCTTGGGATTACGGTACAGAGGTCTGGGGCGGGTCGTAGACTCATCTTTGGGCACATTCGAGGGTCTGGGGCTTTGAGGAACCCTGGGCTAGCCAGTCTCTGCTCACCCACTCACCACTCCTCGCTGTTATCTGCATCCCTCGCCAACAGCACAGTTTCATTTGCTCTGTGTCTTCTTTTGTAAACTTCTCCGAGGTGACAGCCAGCTCTTCAATTTTCGGCATTCTGCTCGGTGTTAGGCAGATGCCATGAATTCAAGAAAGACTTTTTGAATGGTCTGATACAATGTTTCGAAAAGTCCACATCTTTCAAGTGATCTTGAGAAACCTCCAATCTGCCTGCTACATCAGAAGAGGTGGCGGGAATCATGACTTTTGGGCACAGAGGCCCCAGTGAAATGTCTTCTATCTTTGGCAGGTTCCCGGCCTGGCACAAGCTGATACGATGCTGTGAACTTAGAGCCCTTGTCCGCCCTGGAGCCCAAGCACAGCAAGTCAGACTTGTCGTTGAAATCGGTGACCCCCACCCACAGGCTGGCAGGCTGTCCATTCCAAGTCAAGACAGGCTGACTGAGGGCGGCTGAGCCTGACTAACGGACAAAGACGGCAACACTTGGAGCGTATGGAGCCCCTGGGTGATGACTGCCCCACATGCACTTTTCTAATGAAACTTCCAAAATCGCTTCTACTATGAGACCCTACGGTGACCTGGTGCGGTGGGTTGAGGGGTGGCCCCAGAGAGAGATGTCCATGTTCTAACCCCAAGAGCCCATGAATGTGACATTCAGAAAAGCAGGCTTTGCAGATGTAATTAAGTTACATCTCTCTGAGATGAAGACATTGTCCTAGATGATCCTAGATCCAATGACAAGTGTCCATTTAAGCTATGAAAGAGAGAAGGGGAGGAGGCCCTTTGGAGACGGAGGCAGAGTTCAGGAGGGACACAGCCACCAGCCGAGGAACATGAGGAGCCATGAGAAGCCGGGGAAGCATGAGAGCCTCTACCCCAGGGCCTTCGCATGGGGCCTGGCTGTGTGGACATCTTGATTTGGGACTCCTGGCCCCCAGAACTGTGAGAGGATACATGTCTGGTGTGTTAAGCCATCCGGTTTATGCTCATTTGTTACTCCAGCCATAGGAAGCATTGATATAATGAATTCTTTCTGTATGTCATTCGTATTCCTCACATCTCCACAGAGAGTAACGGACATCAACGAGACAAGCAAACATGCTGGACTCGGAAGCTTTCCTTCTGGTGAAAGGATAGTACATATACATTCAGGGGCTTTAGAGCTGCATGGAATGGGAGGATGACACCATTTCCAGATGCCCTGACACTGGGTGGCTGGTCCATCTGCAAGTTCTGCCCCTTTGAGCCTCCCCAAGCTGCAGGAGTGAGCTGGGAGTCCCAGATGTTCTGCATCTTGGGTTTTTCCTGTTGTTGTTAAAACTCTTCGCCATTAGCAACATAAGATCTCACCCACAGCATTTCACTGTGTTGAGGTGTCGCAAGTCATTCAGCTGGGCACTGCATTTAGGTTTCTGTTCACCAAGCTGGGGGACGCCCTTGCTGACCCTCACGCACCTGCGTGGTTGCGTCCGTGGGAAGGTCCCCAGGGCGCAGGGCTGTGTGCCCCACGGCTGTGGCTCCCACCCTCCAAAGAAGCCCCACCGACTCACCTCTTCTGTTCTCATCTCCTGCCCATGAAGCAGGAGGGACTATATTTACAAATGCACATCCTATCAAATGGAGCCCAGTCCTTCCCTGACAAAGCCAGTGCTCTTCCAAAGGAAACAAAGCCTCGTCAGGGCTCTGGACTCCCTTCGACAGCTTGGTACCCGACTGCCTCACTTCTAACCTTACCTGACCTAATGTAAACAGAGCCTCCACAGTCCATTAGACTCCTTCGACCCTGGAGACACGCTAAGGACTGTGACAGGCTATAGGCCTTGACCATGGCCAGAGGCAAGGGGCGGGTAATGGTGGCACCCCGGCCCAGCCTCCTTGGGTCATCTCCCTTCTTTCACCCCTAGCCCCTATAGTCCATTCTCCACTATGCAGCCAGAGTGAAGACAGAAGGTCATATATTGAAACAAGTCAAATTGAGTCACTTCCTTGCTCCAGGACTCTCCCAGCTCATGCAGGCTAAAATCCCACACCCTTGCTTACAAAGCTCCCACAACTGGGCCTCTGGCTGTCCTCTAACCTCAACTGAAGCCCTGTGACGGACAGCAGAGCACACAGGTGCTGTTCTCCAGCCTGGGGCCCTGGAAATTCTTCAAAAGGTGAGGAAGACCAGGGCCCGTGACTGAGGAGACCAGTGCCCAAGGTGAGATGAGGAGGGCAGGGCTGGGGGCAGCGATGGGGAGGCACGTCCTGCTTCTCGTCACTCCTACAAGGCTCAGGCCACCTGCACCCACATGCTTTCCCTTCTCAAGTCACTGTCCTCGCTGGCCGATCGTTGAGAGACTGGCTCCCAGCCTTCTGCTCCAACCATAACCTGACTAATTTGAGGAGATGTCAGAGTCCATGTGACTGACCCAGTCAACCACCAGCTTCAGAATTCCGGGAGCTCCTTTTAATGCCAGTGGCCTCCACTCCTGTGTGCTCTGCCGTCCGTCATAGGGCTTCAGTCCGACTGGCCCCCACTCCCGTGCAATTGCTCCTCCCTTCAGAAACCTGACACTCCAACATTCCATCTGTTCACTGACGTGCCTTCTGATCATGGTTTCGTGAGACCCCTGTGGGTCCTTGACACCGCCACACTCTCCTGGCCACTCGGTAGCTCCCTCCTGCCTCACGCCCTTCCTTATCTCACTAGTGGGTGGTAACCAGGGGCTCCCAGAGCTGGCTGAGCATCAGAGTCAGCGGGGAGCTCTCGGAGCTCAGATTATGGCCCCATCTAGGCCGTGTGACCCCACAGGCCTCTTGGATGCTCAGACTGACCACTCAATCCATCCTGAAACACTCCTCCATTCTGTTTTCCAGAGCACTACATTCTCCTGGTTCTGCTCAAGCCTCTCTGTTCACTTTCTGTCCTTCTCCGAGGCCCCTCTTCTTGCTCCCCCTCCTGACATCTGGTCCGCCTCTCTTTCCTCAGCCCCTCACCCTCTCCCCCTCTGCCCTTCGCTTCGTCAGGCAACCTCACGTGTGTGCTGACAACTTCCAAATCCGCTGCGCTCTTCTCTTATACAAGATAAGGCGCACAAAATTCAGAAGCTGGACAGGTAGATGATTACCACTAAAGATGGGCACACCTTAGATGTTAGGAAGGCTCCGGGCATGTGCCCTCTAGTTTTATTTGAATCTCTTTCTGTTCACCAACAGCTCTGGGACAGGTGGCTAGGGCCACAGTGCACTTCAGGGCCCCTGCAGGCAAACTGGCCAACACAGAACTTCTCATAAACACAGTATTGTAACAGACCAGACCAAACCATTATGTGTCACTGCAAAGGCTCAATGCATCAATGGCCCGTCTCTCCTTTGCACATCTCCCTCGCTCCCTCATGTGGTACTTACTCCCAAGTACTCCGTGGTCAGAAGCTTCTCGCCTGAGAGCTCTCCAAGCTGGGGCTGGATCAGCTCATCTTTGTCCAGATCAGCTTCCATAGTGTCATGGTCCTCCTGTTTCAAAGGACACATGGGGTGAGTGCTCTGGACCCCTGGCCACGCACTCCCAGAGAACTGGCTCCCCAAGTGGGCACCCTCCATGGAATGAGAAGGCCTTTGCCCAAAGCTGGCAACTGGTGGGTTTGCATTTCAAAGGGCTTTGGGGGCAGTCTGTCCTCTGCTTATAACCTCTCCATGAAGATGAAAGGGAAAATGCCAGCCCCCCTCTTTCGGAAGCTGGGCACCTAGGGAGCACTTCCATGACCACAGGTGTGGGAAGGTTCAATAAGACACCCAGCAGTCTCTCCTAGCCACAGTTCTCAGAATTTCCCTCTGTGAGGTCTAGGTACCACACAAACAGCCAAGTCAGTCCATCAGTAACTATCACGTGCCTTCATACGCACAGGGCTTACGGGGCTCATAAAACTTGTTCTTCTCTAATAGTTTACAGTCACCAAAAAGAGAAGAGCTGTTTTGCTTTTGGGAAGATGGACTGGATATACTGTTCCTTATTCCTTTCACTAAATACAACCCCAAACACTGGACGTTATATATATAACATAAACAAAAGAGACCCTGAAAGATGGAGAGAAGGAGCAGACTGGTTAGGTCCCTGCAGACGCAAGGAATGAAAGGTGCTGAGTGCCCTGGGTTTCCGTTGTTCCTTACAGATTCCACACTTGGAGCTGAAGAAGCCAGCAAGCCAGCAAGGTGAATGGTGAAGACGAAAAAACCCCCCCAAAGCCTGCTCTCTCTAGCCAGAGGACCAGGAAAGGGATAGCCTAACAGGAGAGAAGTTTTAGGAAATAACCAAACACCCCAGAAGATACCATCACAACCACACCAGCAAGGGTCTCAGGGAGCCCAGGCTTCTACCCACACTGGGCTGTCATCAGGCACCCCCACATCCCCAGCTGGGGGGATATGAGAGAAGAGCAAGCAGGGAGGGGGGATTTCATCTAATGCGGTGCCCACCCCCAGGTGAGAGTGGAGACCACGTGGAGGGCCTAGCCTTCCACTTGACGGTAACGAGCTATCCCCCGCTCCATGCTCTGATGGTGTCAGAGGAGGCCTGGTGGAGATTCAAGGTCTTCACCACTGCCCCCCGTACCCCTGTGCTGTCAGGCGGGGCAACGTGGGCAACACTAATGAGGCACTCCTACCTGTTCTGGTTAGGGAGATACTGGTGGGGGCCTAGAAGGGATCCGGAACTCCCACGCTGCCCTGCAGTAGCAAGGGCTCTCCTCCCATCCCCCACCACCAATGGGTGTCAACAGAGGCTGAGTGTAAGTCCTGGACTTCTACTCACACCTGGCAGTCACGAGGAGAAGCCCCTGCTCCCCCTGTCAGAGCAGTGTCGAAGCAGCCAGCTAAGACAGAAAGCTTAAATTAGATCAAAAGTCTTTTTTTTTTTTTTAAGATTTTATTTATTTATTTGCCAGAGAGAGAGCGAGAGAGTGTGAGAGCACAAGCAGAGGGGAGCGGCAGGTAGAGGGAGAAGCAGGCTCCCTGCTGAGCAAGGAGTCCGACATGGGACTCGATCCCAGGACCCTGGGATCATGACCTGAGCTGAAGGCAGATGCTCAACTGACTGAGCCGCCCAAGCGTCCCTAGATCAAACGTCTTATAATATTCAAAATATCTGGGTTTAAATAAAAAAATACTGAACAGAAAGAGACAATCAGTAGATGCCAACATCAAGATAACAGAGTTGCTAGAATTATCTGACATAGATTTTAAAGCAGTCATCACAAAACGGCTTCAATGAGCAATTACAAACATTCTTGAAACAAATGAAAAAAACAGAAAGTCTCCAGAACTTTCTGGAGAAAGAAAAATAACAAAATAAACCCAAAGCAAGCAAAAGGAAGGAAATAATAAAGAGCAGAGCAGATATCAATGAAAAGGAAAGCAGAAAAACAGTAGAGAAAATGAGTCAAACAAAAAGATGATTCTTTGAAAAGATTAATAAAAATGTCAAGTCTCAAGCAAGATCAACAAAGAAGGTAAAAGACACAAATTACCAATGTCAGGAATGAAACAGAAGATATTACTACAGATCCTGCAGATATCAAAAGGATAAGGGATTAGTATGAATAACTCTACACACATAGGTTTGACAACTTAGATAAAAACACAAATTATCACAAGCCTCTCAATATGAAATTGTGATATAGGACTATTCAAGTAATCTTAAAATTATGATTATGAAGGAAACTGCTTCATAAAATTTCATAAAAATTCCCTGGCCCACCATGGTCTCCCTGGAGATTTCTATCAAGCTTTTAAAAAAGTAACACCAAGTCTATATGTCTTCAAGAAAACAAAACAGGAAGGAATACTTCTTAATTCATTTTATGAAGTTTTTATGTTACCAGAACCAAACAAAGACAGTATCATAAAAAGAAAAATACAAACAAATGTCCTTCATGAATAAAGATGCAAAAATCCTTAATAATCAAGTTAAAAGAAAAGGGAAAAAAATCCTTAACAGAACCTTAACAAACAGAATAGAGGAACAGATCAATATGTTAAAAGAATTATATGCCATGACCAAGTTGGGTTTGTTCTGTCAATGCAAGTTTGGCTCAATATCTAAAATTTAAACACTGTAATCCATAAGATTAACAGGTTTGTGAAGAAGAAAAATCACATGAACATATAAATGGATGAAAAAAAAATACAAAATTCAACAATATTCATGACAAAAATAGGAACAGAGGGGTACTTGATAAAGAGCCTATAGCTAATATTATGCTTAATGATGAAAGACTGGATGCTTTCCTCCTAAGACTGGGAACAAGGCAGGGATTCCTGCTTTGACCATTTTTTTTTCCTTTCACCATTCTTTTCAACATAGTGCTAGAAGTTCTAGCCAGAGCAATAAAGAAAAAAAAAAAAAAAAAAAAGGAAATAAAAAGCACATAGATTAGAGAGGAAGAAATAGAACTGTCTCTATTTGCAGATGCCATGATTGTCTATGTAGAAAATCCCAAGGAATCCACCCCTCGAAAATCCTAGAACTAAGTGGGTTCAGCAAGGTCACAGGATACAAGATAAATATACAGAAATCAATTTCTATATACTAGTGATGAACTTAAATTAAGACACTGAAATGAAAAATACAACATCATTTACAATTGTTCACAAAAAATAAAAAATAAAATACTTAGGTGTCAATCTAGCAAAATCTGTATAGGATTTGTATGCTGAGAACTATAAAACACTAATGAAAGAAACTGAAGATCTGAATAAATGAAAAGACACACCTTGTTCATGAATTGGAAGACTCAACAGAGTTAAGATGTCAGTTCTATTCAAAGTGATATATGAATTTAATGTAATTTCTGTCAAAATACCAGCAAGATTCTTCTGTAGATATATACAAAATTATTCTAAAATTTATATGGAAAGGGCAAAGGGACTAGAATAGCTAAGAAAATTTTGAAAAAGAATAAGGTGGGAAGAATCAGTATACCCAATTTCATGACTTATTATATAGCTACAGGTTTAAAGACTGGGTGGGATTGGCAAGAGGGACACACATATAGATCAACAGAACAGAACAGAGAACCTCAAAGCAGATGTACACGAATATGCCCACCTGATTTTTGACTAAGGTGCAAAAGCAATTCAATGAAGGACTGCCTTTTTGATAAATGATACTAGAGCATCTGGACATGATAGGGAAAAAAAATGGACCTCACTCTCATTCTCATGCTTTATCTAAAAAGTAATTCAAAATGGATCATGGACTTAAATGTAATAGTATCCAATTGTTAGAAAAAATAGGAGAAAATCTTCAGGATCCATGGGTAGGCAAAGAGTTCTTATACTTGACACAAAAAGCACAATCCATAAAAGGAAAAAATATGATAAATTGGATTTTACTGAAATTTTAAAATCTTTTGCTGAAAGACCCTGTGAAGGGGACAAAAAGCTAGTGACTGGGAGAAAATAGAAACCACATATTTGACAGAGGACTAGTATCTAAATAATAGAACACATAAAACATTCTCAAAACTCAACATAAAAAGCCCAAACAATCCAATTAGAAAATGGGCAAAAGACATGAAGAGACTAAAGAGGATCTATGGGTGGCAAATAAGCACATATGAATGTTCAACATCATTAGGCATCTGGAGAATGTACATTCAAACCACACTGAGGTGTCACTCTGCATCTGTCGGAATGGCCAACATCAGAAACGCTGATGAAGATGCAGAGAAACTGGATCACTCCTACGTTGCTGATGGGAACACAAAACTAGTTATAGCCACTCTGGAAAACAGTTTGGTAGTTTCTTCAAAAGCTAAGCCTACAACTATATACGACCCAGCAATTGCACTCTTGGGCATTTATCCCAGAGAAAGGGAAACTTATCGTCATATAAACATCTGTACATGAATGCTTACAGCAGCTTTCCTTGTAATGACTCAAAACAGGGAACGAGAGATTAAATGAGCCGTGGTACCTCCATAGAGGAGGTTCTGATACACACAGAACTGGGGCATCTCCAGTGACTTATGTTGTGGGAAACAAGCCATTCCTCATGGTTATAACCTGTATGATTCCATTTACATGACATTCTTGAAATGACAAAACTGGAAATGGAGAACAGATCGGTGGTTGCCAGGGGTTACAGAGGAAATGGGGGTGGGAGGGAAGTGGGTGTGGCTATAAAAGGGACCCTGGTGGTCCTGGAAATCCTCTGGATCCTGGATGTCTCAATGTTCACGTTCTGGCTGTGATATTATACTATGGTTTTGCAAGATGTTACCCCTGGATGGAACTGGGTAACAGGGGGACCTGCAGTCCTCTTTCCCACTCTCTGCCACACTTCAGAGATGACGTTGTCCTTTGAGGTTAAATTATAAAGATCAATACGAAACAGACCAGCCCTTCACCTGACAGGAACTAAGGAAAGAATGTGTCTATGAGGGGAGCCGGCCGGCTATGGAAGTGAGAAAGAGGGAGGACGGGGCCCCGAGGAAGCTGGCAGGCCAAGTGCTGGT